CCTCGGGCTCCCAGCGTCCCGCGCCTCCCAGGCAGCCTCCTCCGGGCGCGGGCGCTTGCACACCATGGCTCCCGGGCGGACCCGGGTCGACGCCGCGGTGCGCGCCCGCCTGGCGCTGGCCTTGGCGCTGGCGAGCGTCCTGAGCTGGCCCCCCGCCGCCGCCTGCCCCACCAAGTGTACCTGCTCCGCCGCCAGCGTGGACTGCCACGGGCTGGGCCTCCGCGCCGTTCCCCGGGGCATCCCCCGCAACGCCGAGCGCCTGTGAGTACCCGGCCCTCCCGCGCGGGCCACCCACCCCGCTCCCTCCTAGCCGCCCCCGGGCGCTGGGTCCTTCCCTACCCTCCACCGCGCTGGCTGCCACCTCGTTCTCTCTCCCTTGGGCGTCCGACCTCTCGCCCTCGGAGTAGTGGGGCCGTCCGTGGCTTTGGTCAAGTGTGGAGAGAAGACTGGGGGGGGGGGCGCCCGTGATGGGCAGTGCCTCTCTGGGGCTCAGCTCCCCACTCTCGGCCGGCTGACAGCTTCCTAGAAGAACGCTGGCGACCTCGAGATCTTAGGGTGGGGATGAGGGGTCTGCGCTCCTTAAAGAGGAGACGAGGGAGCAAGGTGATGGGGCGTCCGGAGCGTGGGGACCTGAGAGACCCCCTCTCCCCCCTTCCCACTGTGACCCGCTTGGAGATGAGCTTGGGCGGGAGGCTGGCTGGTTGTCCTTGCAAGGAAAGTTAAGAGTGAACGTGAAGATCTAACTTCTGAAGAACCGGACCAATTCCGAGTGGGTGCTCGTAGCACCCGCCCTGCGTGGGGCGCAGCCTCGGAGATGCCAAGTTGTAGCCGGGGTGAATTTTTTATGGCTCGGTTATAAATGCCTCCCCAAACGGGCCGGAGAATGGAAATGCTGACAGCCCTTTAAATGAGACCGAGAGCTATAATCTTACAAACCGCACTCAGCCTCGGATCCTGGGCTTGGCAACCCGCGGAGAGGCTCTTGGAGAGTGGGGTGGATTGACCCTCGTTTTAACCCCAATTGTGCAACCAAATATTTACTTTTCATATGTCAACGTTTTGGGATGATTTATCATTTTGATCCTCAAGACCAAATTCAAAGGTTGGACTCTGGGGGTGGGCTCCTCTTAGTCCACAGATGGGGGCGAGGTGGGGGAGGTGGGAGCTACGGTGGAGGGAGCTGGAGCCTCCTGGGAATCCTGCCTAAGAGTGAGTGAGGGTTTGCTCTAAACTCCAACTCTTGCTCTCCTCAGTCATCCCCTTCCTAGTGTGTCTTAGGGGTGCGCACCATGGTCTTATATCCTGCCTTTTTGACTTGGGGTATGGTCCCCGGTCCCCCCCACCCTCCTTAGTCACACCTTATCTCCACACCTCCTCTCTTCTTCCTCTTTGTGGCTATCTAGCAGACTTCCTAGAAATGCCTTTATTCCTGGTGTTTTCTTTTGGCTCAAAAGACATGTTTGTTTTGTATTTTTTATTTTTGAAGTGCAGTGATTGTTCTGTTCAGTGAACTATAGGATACTAGAGGGCTAGCCCTGAATGTTCATTAACACACATAGGAAATTAGACTTAGAAATGTAAACTGACTTGACCAGAAAACCCCCACAAGTTGGTGGCAATAAAAGGGTTGGAATTCTACACCTTAATTCAGACATTATATCAGACCCTAGAAGTGAAAATCTCATTTAAATGGTATTGTTAGATGCCTATAAGCTAAGCTCCCTTCTTTCTCGCAGGAATGCTGGACACATGAGCCAGTGAGACAACTGTGGCTAATGTTTAATGAATGAATGTTTCCCCTGCATCAATTTGTACGTACCTGGTACCTCCTCTAATCTATGGCAGTCCTATTTGTTAAATAGGTAGTGCTTATTGGTCCACTTTGCCCTGTCTTGTCATGTAAGGTCATGTAACCAGTTAATTGCTAGAATCCAAACCGGCAGGCTCCTAAGCCCAGGTCTCTTACCTCACTGCAAACTCCTTGGAACCAGGATCAGTTTGGGCCATGATCTATAAACAGACAGTCCTGGGAAGGTCTTAGAAGAGGATGTCATCCTGCTTTAACATGAGCTCTCCTACTCCAGGTCCTGAAAATACTTCTCATTGTCAGAATCATGTTGGAGAATGGGCCTCTCCTTCTAGTATGCCAAAAGTTTTCAAATGCTCCAGCCAGATCACTGTAGCCAGTGTGCCACCAGCCACCTCCACTAGAGATCCTAGCAACTGAGGGCATGCCATCTGCTCTGCAGCTGGAGACAGTGGATAGAGACTGGGGTTCTAGGCATCTCCAGGGGCCTTTACTGTAGCCATGGTCACCACCAGGCATGGGCACTGCTCTGACATGTCTGTGGCTATGTGGTGCAGCTTTGGTCACTGGTGAGGCTTTGACTTTGATGCATGTGTGTGATGGAGTTGCCAAGGCTGGCCCCTCATCCTATCTTCTTTGCTAGCTTGAGGACAGCCTTACAGAGTAAGTGGGGTCAGGGCCATCTCAGGTTTAAGGGCAGCCCACCAACAGCCCTTCACCACCCACCCCTACTCTTGGCCTCAGATGGAACGTTTCAGTGCTGTACACTGTTGAGGGACATACAGCATTGCTCTACTGTAATAAGGATTTCTTCAGGAAGAAATTTGTCATTTACTCCCTCCATTCATTCAACGAACATTGCTAGAGCCTCGATAGCATTCCTGTCCTTGTCTCTGAAACCATTGCATACACAGAAGGAAGCCAGCACTTCAGCTTAAAGGATGTAAGCAAGGGTCAGAAATGGGATGAACCTTTTAAATACTCCAGGGTTCATTTAGTCAGGGGACACTGAGTTTATCATCGGAACCATCAGATGCTCAGGACCTTTCAGAAATCTGGTTTCTGATCCCAATGATGTAATTGTGTTAAAACAAAGAAGGAACCCATTTCTTCCTTCTCGGTTCCTGCTGCTCTTCCTTCCAAAGAGCTTCTTATGGAGGACTTGGCATGTGTGGTTGTTTCCTCCCATATGACATTAAGGACAGCCTGAATGGGGAGGATGTGGTCCCTCTTTGGACGTGGCTGTAGGCTGGAATGGGGTCTGAATTGTTCATTTAAGCCATCAGAGTTGGAGGGATCTGTGTTCCAAGTCCTTCCCCATAATGTCAGCATATCACACAGAAAAAGAAACTGTCTTTTATAAACTACTGACAATTTTTCCCCTCTTGGAGGAGGAGGTGACACCCACAAGTAAGCTAAATAAACGGAGAGGAGAATTCGTTGTCATTTATTATCCAGGCAGCAAAGATAGTCTCAGAAAGGAGAGGAAGTGAATGGTGGTGCTTGAGACAAAACATTTACCACGGCGTGCAGAGTAAACAGATGTTGCATTTGCCCTTCTGAGTACAAAAGGAGCCACAGATGTAATTCTTCTCCAACCACAGCCTCAGCCTGGATGAAAATGAACCCTCATGTGGGGCCCCTTCTCCCAGTGCTGCCCTGAGGCAGGCGGAGGCCCACTTCTCACCTACAGCTAGATGGTGGCAGTAGGGGCAAAGGATGCCAGAGTGGGCATCTTTGCTTTTCCATTTGGCTCCAGAACATGCTGGAGACGGCTGAATTTAAATAAACATTTCCTGTTTGCGAAGGAGAGCATGGAGAGCGGGCGAAAGGCTGAAACGTGAGAATGTGGTAACTTAATTTTCTCCATCACTCCAGATGACAGCAAGCTTTGCCGGTGGTTGGGTCCAATAAAAACCGACACCGTGTCATAGGCTTTCCCTCACTTGACCACAGAGGTCCAGGGGTCAAGTGGGAGACTTTCCAAGTTGTTCAGCAGCCAAACCCAGCATTCTGGTACTCCCAGCCCTCAGGGGCAGCTTAGAGGACCAGGGACAGGCTGGTAAGTCATGGGGCCTCTCTGGGCCAACCACAATGATGTGGCTTTCAGGGAGGCCCGGGGCTCTTCTGGATTGCCTACTGAAGGGTACAGCTCTGAACAGATTGCTGTACCTTTCTGGGCTTCCTAAAAGTAGGATTCTGGTATAGTCTTTGTGGTTTTCCATGTATAGTCTGTAGTTCACCTGTAAACTATTAGAACATTCTTCTGTCTGGCACTGTGTAGGTTTTCAACAAATGTATGTTGAATAAAAGACTAATGAGCCTCAAAAATACAGTGCTTCTTACAAGGGAAGACTGGGCTATTACTGATGTGCATTTTGATGGGTGGCTAAGGGCTACCAACTAGTCACCTATGATATGAGATACTGTTATCTAAAATTTGGATTTCATGAACTACAATGATTGCCTTAGTAAAATTCCCCAAGACTCCCACTGAGTGATCCACTCTGAAGTCTGGTCACCCTGCGTTGCTTAGCAACTTTGCAAAACTCCTACTGTGCACTTGCCTGTGGAAAGAGCCAGCGGTCCCGACTACTTCTGCCACAGGACTTTCTAATCAGGAACTCATCACGGCATCTTGAGCTCTCAGTGGTTTTTGGATTGCTGCTCTTCTGGTATTAATTGATAAGTATTTGTAGGATCACCAGTAAGTTTTACTTTTGCCAGTCAGAAAAGACTGGGCTTTTTCTTCTGCTTCTCCCTTCCCCCGTTTCAATTGTTTGTTTCTCTGTAGCTCTGTTTATTCTGGGAGCTCTTTCCCCCCTAGAAAGTGAAAATGAAGGGATGGGGGGGGCTGTGGAATCTTTTGTTTGGTTTTATGGACAAACAGGGCTTCAGAGCCCACTGCACGATGTTTTGGGCGGCAGCTTGCAGCGGGTGGCTTGGGTTTGGGTGGTCTATAGCAAGCCTATTGTCTCCCCCTGGGCTGTTGTTGTGTTGCTCGGACTGCAGTATGTTTAATCCCTTTTGTACTTGATTTCCACACCTGTAATGCAAGGCTGTTAGTTACATGGGGATGTTGTGAACACAGCCTCAGACAATCCACATAATGTGCTCTGCATGGTGCCTGCCATATTGTTCAGTCATTATCATGACTGTGACTGTTTACCCAACTGCAATTTATCCAGCTGTAAAGTTTGTATAATACCCATTCCCATTTTGGAAGGATTAAACGCGTTTGTGTCTACAAAGTGCTTTAAGGTACCTGGCACATAGGAGCCCTCCACAAACTTGTAACAATAGTGCTATGGCTGTGTTTCCATTTGCTCATTTCAGTCTCTGTCCAGCTGGATGGCTTATGGTGTTCACTGTGAATTTTGTTCCAGCTCAGAGCCCGCAGAGGCAGGCTTGCTGCCTGCACATGGGCTGCAGGCTGTGCCCAATACCCTCTTGCTTCGTTTCTTCCTTTTACTATCTCTTCATCCGACCCCAGCAGCTGAGCCCAGGTTGGCCTCTGTTCCATAAAGAAGGGATTATGGTTGAAGTGGTTTCTTTCTTTCCCCTGGGTTTGCTGCTTTGTGGTCTGTTTGAATAAGGAATGTGTCTTATTTCTTCATTTTAGGGGGGACACAGCGGTTAGAGTTTCACAGGGGATTCTTGGTCCTGACTTTTTGTGTTCAGTATTCTTCCGTCT